GCTGAGGATGTTGCTAAAACCCGACCGAGGTGGAAACTGCAGTCCTTTCCGGCCTTAATGGGGATACCTTTTTGGAAAGCAAGTCGGTGTGATATTGAATGGCAAAAGTGGGAAAATGTGAAATCCCACTCGTCACGCCGCACACCTCCAAAGTCGGGCCTGGTCCGTCGTGTGGGACGAGTTTTTGTAGGTTAAGCATGTGATTGCATCTTCACCGTCTTCACTGAAGTGGAGATGTGACAGGGTTTTGCCATTTCCGTGCTCTTTTGCAGCCTTTCTAAGCCGGCTTTCTTACCTCTCTTTTTTTTTAGTCGATAAAAACAAGTGCTCCTGCAAGCAGGAAACCAATCACAGCACCCTCGGCGCGACCTTGAAAATGTATGCGGCGGACCCAACTTCCGTGTGGGTAAGTTCCTCAACCAATCGGCACAACAATGCCCAATCCCCTCGTCGTAATTGGTCCTAAACCAGTCCTCTTGGAAGGTACCAGACGCCATTGTTGCACATCGCATCGAAACTTTTGCTAAGTTCGGCCACCGACTCGAGGGCTCGAGTCCCGCAGAGCCGGGGCCGGAGACGAAGAAGAGGTCTAAGAGGAAGGATGACAATATCGAGCGACTGTAGCTCTGTCGTTGTGTAGGTGTGTGCGATGAAGAAACTCGTGGGTTGATGACCGTTCCTTCCGATTGTCATGCGACCGTTTGGCTCTTCGACGACCTTCCGGGACGCGCTGTCCCCGAGACACACTCCCTCGTCAGGGCTGGAAATCCTTCAAGCAAGAGCCTCAACTCGACATCAGGACAACACGACAAGCCGGCTATTCATGCACATACGTTTAGAGAAAACATTCAGACAACCATCGATGGATAGATAGATAAATAATTATTTGGTCAGCATTAGAAATATCAATTAATTAACTAATATTAATCAGGCCAACTATCCTACTATACTATATATACTATATAAAGTAATAAATAAATAAATAACTACATATATATATATATATATAATATTTTTTCAGCATAAAATAAATATAAATGGAGAGAATGTGGGCCACAGTCTAAACGCTCTTTTTTCATTTCAGGTTTACAACCGGAGCATAGAGCATAAATTCGACATGGACTGTTTCAACTCCGCGGGTGAACGCAGAATCGACTACTGCACCGCGCATGGTAAGTAGTGAGTCCAAATTGTGTTAAAATGTTGTGCTGCTAGCACCGGACGCCGATTGGACGAGGCTAAGAGGAGAAAGAATGCATTTCAAGTTATTCCCAAACGGTGTTGCTAACGCCACTTTATTCTGTATTCTGTCACCAAGCTGGTGCTGATCTGACGCAAATCGGGCGGCATAAAAGTTAACAGAATAACCCTAAACGTGACCCGGGATCAGGCATTTTGCATGCGATTTCCTGCCTGAAATGGGCTGTTTGGATAAAATATATTCACATTTTCGCCCCGGTGTGTATTTTGACCCGACGACGCAGCCACGAGACGACCCTGCCGGGCGGAAGGAGGCTTCGTGCGTTCCACTGGCGGGGCTCGAGCTCAGGTCGAGTTCGACTTTGGACGCGCCAATTGACCCTCTGCCAACTCGAGCCGGGAGCCGGTGAGTTCCCGCGTCAAACGATCCAAAACGGATCTTTGCGTGGAAGTCGCTGCTGGCATTGAAAGGACCCAACCACGTCTACTTGACCCTCGAGGAGCGGAGAACCTTCTCGAAGCTTCGCAATTCAGTCCCGGAAATTCTGTTTCCGTGGCACTTGATTTGAAGCCCATTTGGCGCAATTCACAAATGCAGCCTCGAAATTCTTGAAATGGGTTCTCGAAATGGTTCACAACCGCCCGATGACAAGCCTTTTGTGATCCATTTTCGAGCGACTAACATTGCCACGTTTATGGCCGAAAGTTGGGCACAATTGTACCCATGAACTTGTTGATGATGTTTGTGTGTATCTTGATTATTTCCAACAGGAGATGACACTCCAATCAGCTTGAAGGTGACCGAGGCTGCGCAACATCTCTTCATCTCCGTCGGCCAATTCGACGCGAATGTCGCGGAGAAGCCGGTCTCGTTTTTCAGAGTAAGTGCCACCCTATCCCTGCACACTCGACTCTCTTCAACCCAATCTCCACTTTCTGTAGGGTCTGAAAATGCCGTGAGCACGTTGTCATGGCGTGAAAACGCCAACAGACAATG